TTGCTAGTATCTGCTTTCTACTTTATTGTTAGTTTTTGCTTTCTACTTTATTGTTAGTATCTGCTTTCTACTTCATTGTTAGTATCTGCTTTCTACTTCATTGTTAGTATCTGCTTTCTACTTTATTGTTAGTATTTGCTTTTTACTTTATTGCTAGTATCCGCTTCCTGCTTTATTAGTATTTTCCTTCTCCTTTATGCTAGTATTTGAAACCTGCTTTATTGCTAGTATTTGCTTTCTACTTTATTGCTAGTATCTGCTTTCTACTTTATTGCTAGTATCTGCTTCCTGCATTATTGCTAGTATCTGCATTCTGCTTTATTGTTAGTATCTGCTTTCTGCTTTAGAGCATCTCCAATGGTTAAGTTATGTTACGACTTAAAAAAAATTGGCAACTCATCTTCCATTAACTTAAACCTCTAATTAAATGATCTCTCCAATGGTTAACCTCTAATTAAGCTACAAATAAGCTAGTATTTGTATGTTTGGCTAAATTTGTAATTGGTTGATAATTTTTTTTTTGTTTTGTTTTCAATTGGTAGGAACTTCCTGCTGCATTTGTATCTTTCAAATCACGGATTGGTGCTGCAGTAGTTTTACAAATCCAACAAGGAGCAAAGCCTACAGAGTGGCTTACTGAGCGGGCCCCCGAGCCTCGTGACACATACTGGCCTTTCTTTTCTGCGTCTTTCTTAAGCAGATGGATTGGAAATGTGGTGGTGGTTATCGCGTGTGTTGTTCTTACCATTTTGTTCTTCATTCCTGTTCTCATAGTCCAGGGTCTCACTAATTTGAATCAGTTGGAGACTCGGTTCCCTTTTCTCTCAGGCATTTTAAACATGTCAGTATACTATAACTATATAATCTACTCATTTCACTATATTATGAAATTACATATCTAACTTGTCTATATGGTGTTTAACTTGTATGCAGAACGTTTGTAAGTCAAGTCATCACAGGATATCTTCCTAGTTTGATACTGAAGACGTTTTTACAATATGTGCCACCTGTGATGATAATATTATCCTCTATTCAAGGCTATGTTGCTAGAAGTCAAATAGAGAAAAGTGCATGTAATAAAGTGCTCTGGTTTAGCATATGGAATGTATTTTTTGCAAATGCTTTATCTGGATCGGTTTTATATCGGGTTAATATCTTCCTTGAGCCTAAGGAAATACCAAATATATTAGCTGTTGCTGTTCCAGTACAGGTAAAAAAAAAAATAAATAAATACACTCATGTTCATTGCATTTTTAATGGATATTAAAGAGGTGATAGTAATATTTTAATTTCTTGTACATGTTTATTACAGGCTACGTTCTTCATAACATATGTAGTGACATCTGGGTGGACTAATACATCTTCAGAACTTTTACGGTTGATGCCCTTGATTTACAGTTACACAAGAAGAATATTTTCAACTGAAAGTGGTGAAGACTTTGAAGTGCCTTCACTTTCTTACAGCAGTGTGATCCCAAGTATTCTGTTATTTGGACTTTTTGGCATTACATACTTTGTCCTCTCGCCCTTGATTCTGCCTTTTCTACTGGTTTACTTCTGTCAGGGATACATAGTTTATCGTCATCAGGTTAGATGGATTCATATATTTTGTTATTACTATCTTCCTTTTAATTGTCAGGAAATGAGTAAATTATATTTTTGGTCTACTTTTAGTGGATTACATTTTTGGTCCCTGTAGTTTTTAATTATTTGCAGTAAATGAGTAAATTGTGTTTTTGGTCCCAGTAGTTTTTAGTTTGAATTGATCATTTTTGGTCCCTGCAGCTTTTAATTATTTGCAGGAAATTAGTAAATTACATTTTTGGTCCCTGTATTTCTTAATTATTTGCAGTAGATGAGTAAATTGTATTTTTGGTCCCTGTAGTTTTTAGTTTAACTTAATTACACTTTTGGGACCTGTAGCTTTTAATTATTTGCAGGAAATGAGTAACTTCATTTTTTGTCCCTTTAGTTTATAATTATTTGCAGTAGATGAGTAAATTGTGGTTTTGGTTCCTGTAGTTTTTAGTTTGAGTTAATTACACTTTTGGTCCCTGTAGCTTTTAACTACTTGCATGAAATCAGTAAATTACATTTTTGGTCTCTGTAGTTTTTCACCTTTGGTCCATGTAGCATTTAATTATTTTCAAGTAGTAAATTACATTTTTGGTCCTTGTAGTGCTTAATTATTTGCAATACATGAGTAAATTGTATTTTTGGTCCCTGTATTTTTTAGTTTGATTTAATTACACTTTTGGTCCCTGGAGATTTTAATTTTTTTGCAGGAAATGAGTAAATTACATTTTTGGTTCCAGTAGTTTTTAACTATTTGCAAGAAATGAGTAAATTGCGTTTTTGGTCCCTGGATTTTTTAGTTTGCTAGAAATGAGCGAATAACTTTTTGGCCCCTGTAGTTTGCGATATCTTGCACTTTAGTCCAAGTTTTAAATTTTTACAAGAAGAGTAAGTTATAGTTTTTGTCCTTGTGGTTTCCACTATTCTGCGGTCTGCACTTTACGTCTTTTGAAATTTTTACAAGAAGACTAAATTACAGTTTTGGTCCCTATGGTTCACCAACAAAGACAAGTAATTTTCTAAAAAAAAAAATGAAAAAAGCATGCAACCTTTCATGAACATCACACAGACGATCTTGATTCACAAAAGGTCACGCCACATGTCTACTTGCAATTGGTTGTCTTTTTCTCATTTTATTAACCGAACTTTATAAATTATAAATTAGACTTCTTTTTCACATGTCTACCTACATTAATGTTGCACATCGTTTAGACAAAAATAATAGATATGATACTGATTTTTGTTTGTTTGTTTGTTTTTTTTTTTTTTTTTTTGATAGTTGCTGAATGTTTATTCACCAAAATTTGAGACTGGTGGGGAGTTTTGGCCAATTGTGCACAATTCTACAATCTTTTCATTAGTATTGATGCAATTGATTGTTGTGGGGATATTTGGTCTCAAAAACCTTCCCTTGGCTTCCAGTTTGACTATTCCACTTCCAATCATCACTCTTCTCTTCAACAGCTACTGCAGAAAACGGTTTCTACCTGTTTTCAAAGGCTATCCTGCTGAGGTATATGTCAATAACCATTCATCTCAAATTCTCAATCTCATTCATTACATTAAAAAAAAAAAAAAATCAAAGAAAGCACGTTGCTACTTCTCACATCTTTTCCTTCACTAAGATTCTATGAACATCAACCATCCATCATATATGAAGTTCTAAATGTGTAGCTAAAACATTACTCATGATACAGTTGATGATAAAGAAAGACAGACGTGACGAAAATGCCCCTGGAAAGTCTGATTTCCATGAGAAACTAATCACTGCATATAAAGATCCGGCATTGCAGCCAATCAAATTCTCTGGAAGAACAGACAGCCACAATACCCCTCTTCTTGCTTCTGAATCATAGAGTGTGATGATTGAACAGTGTGTAGATTTTGTGCACCTTAATTCCATTGTTTAATAATAATAATTTATTGCTTTTTGAAAATTCATTTTCAACAGCTATTGTGATTGCATCAAAATAACATACGTAGACATGTGAAAAAGAAGTCTAATAGGGAATTTACATGTCTACTTATATTATTTATAATTATATACAAAATTATTTCAAATTATATACAAAATTGGTCTTTTTGTTTCTTAAACTCAGAGAAATGGTCCCTGCCTAATAGGGAATTTACATAAATAGCCTCTGTCTTTCGTAAAGTTATAGAAATGGTCCCTGCCTAACAGCGAATCTACATAAATTGTTGATCTATTTCATAAAGGTACATACATGGTCTCAAATTTTGAAACAATTACAAAAATGGTCTTACATAATATCAAAATTACAGAAATGGTCTCATGTTTCACAAAATTACATAAATGATCGCTACCTAATTGCGAAATAACATAAATGGTTCCTGTGTTTACAAAATTACAGAATTGCTCCATACCTAATAGCAAATTTACAGACATGGTCCCATGCTTCACAAAAATTACATAAATTAACCTTATGTAAGTGGCATTACATTAATGGTGTGAAAATATATGATTAATAAACCCGCCGCAAAGCACAGCAATCCCACTTTTTTGAAGTAATTACGTAAATGTTGAATAATGAATATGCAGCTGTGTGTGTGTAGTATTATTACAAGTATTAACTATAGTTATGTTCAGGATAACCACTGTTCTATTGATAGGATGCCACTTGGAAGGATTAGAATGGCCTTTGACTTGTAATTTTCCCATTTGTTTTAAAAAAAAAAAAAAAAAAAACAACTACAAAACGAAACCCCTTCATAATATTAGTATCTTAACCCCGTCATTCCACGTGGCAGTCTCCTCAAAGTATAAAGTTCCATGGTTAAGTGGTTGAGTTAACTAAATGTTTTTTTTTTTTTCAATTTTTTTTTGTAACATTTAATTTCTATTAAACATGGTTCCAAACTATTATTAAAAATGTTTAATTTTATAACCTATTAGCAAATAATTATAACCCAAATTTACCTATTTCATATGAAATAGAACAGATGGAGTAGTATATAGTATAACACATTTTACTTCCATTTTGGCAGACTTCTTATAAATATTTTACGCCAATTTGTATTATTAAAAGTAATGAGGATGTCATCATTAGTTTCTACAAACTTCATATTGTCCCCCGGACTTTAAAAACAATCTTACATTATTCATCAATGCTGACATATCCTACTCAATATTCCAATCTGTGATACACACGTACACATATCTCTGCACAGATTACAAGTTCTAATGCAATTTGACTCTGCCCAAATAACTGAGGCATCTTTGATGATAAACAATACTAGTCAAAGGTGAAGAAACGTCCAAAAGTTAACTTTTAGACACAAATACTAGAATAAACAATCAGATGTGACCTCTTCAATCTTGTCTAATCTATATATACACATATCTTGATTAAAGGTATGCATATCAGTATATCACCAACCACTAACAAATCAAACATCTTTCAAACATGGCTAGGAAGAGAAAGCTAGAAATCAATCAAGAACAAACCATGGCTTTCGGTGGGCCCCAGAGAGCCAAGAAGAAGTTTGTTGGGGTGAGGCAAAGACCATCGGGTAGATGGGTTGCAGAAATCAAAGACACCATACAAAAAATCAGAGTATGGTTAGGGACGTTTGATACAGCCGAGGAAGCGGCTCGAGCCTATGATGAAGCCGCTTGCTTGTTACGTGGATCCAACACACGCACCAACTTCTGGCCTTCTTCTCAATCCTTCTCCACCACACCCGCACTCCCATCAAAAATCACAAATCTTCTTCTCCATCGGCTCGAAGCCCGAAACAACCCTCGACCACCATCGGCTTCGGTGAATCGACATGATGACGTGAAGCAGCCGGAGGTGGCGCCGGAGTTCTTGGATACGTATTTTACCGATTTTTTAAACGATGTAGACGGGTTTCTCCCTGTAAACGATATGATGGGTAGTGATGTTGGTAGCAACGTGAGCTTTGAATCGTGTATGCCGGTTGATGTGGATTCTTGTGGAGATACAAATGGTGGAGGCGAAAGGGAGGTGGAAGAGGAAGAAGAAGAAGAAGAAAGGGTGGATTTTAGGTTTATTGATGAAATTGGAACGGGTTGTAATTTTTCGCCATTTGATATGGCTCAAGAAATGGTATCGGAGCAAAGTTATGATGGGGAAGAAGAAGAGCCGATGACGATAAGTGAAGCGATGAAAAGGATGAAATATGAACGTAAGTTTTCGGCTTCTCTTTACGCTTTCCATGGGATTCCGGAGTGTTTACAGAGAAAGGGTGGGCAGGGAGGAGGTGCGAAGGGTAGAGAAAGGTCGAAAATGCATAGAATGGCTCATCAAGTGAATGAAGAATGTAAAAAAGGTGGAGAAGAAATGTGTTTGGTTTCGTCTTCGGATGAGTTTATCGATGGAGATTTGTCTCTGTGGAACTTGCTTGATCTTCCTACCATATGTTATGTTAATTAGATCTTGATCTTAAGCTTTGATATGGTTTTTTTGATATACTTGGTGATCATTGGAAGATAAACTTTATTATGTTCATATATTGTGAAGATTGTACACCTTATGGGAACCTTGCTTAGTTGCTTACTCATTCTAAGATGTGGTGTCGTAGAATGTTAGATTTGTTAAGAATGCGACTTTGTGTTATTTTTCAAAGGAACAATGGAGTTTTTTTTTTTGTCTATTGAATTCAGATCCTATATAGAGATGTAAAATGGTGACAGTTGAATCAGTTTTACTAGCATGTGTTTTTTTTTGTTTTGTTTTTTATTTTTAAGTACGATTGAATTTGAATAGATAACAGTCTAAACTTAGTCATATTATGAAACTTCTAGAAATCGTTGGGACACCAGGTCACGACATTAACCTTATAGAGAACCGGTTATATTTCATGTGTTAAGGTGATTTAGACGCCTAATGAGGAAATATAAAAAATGGTAAACCACAACATAACGGAGAAATATAGAAAGAAGTTGGAGCTTCATACAATGTTCGTTTGCCTTGAGAAGGCATATGATCTTAGGGCTATGTGTGTTAGATAACAGGGTCGTGGGGATATGACAGTGCTATACGTGATATATATTGGAGATTTAGGACCATGTCCAAACCTATGTAGGTGTAGATAACACAAAGCCTTTAATGGTGGAAATAGGACTCCATCAAGGATCCACACTTACCCATATATCTAGCCCTGATTTTGGAGTAAATTACTAAAATCATCCCTATGGTTCGGTCAAAATTGCATGTTTAGTCCCTAATTTTTTTTGCATTCGGATCGTCCATGTGGTTTGATTTTGTTGCGTTTTTCGTTCCTATGGTTTGCTCAAAATTGCACGTTTTGTCCCTGACTTTATGTATGTAAGGGACGAAAAACGCAACAAAATCAAATCACAGGGACGATCCGAGTGCAAAAAAAAAAGTTAGGGACCAAACGTGCAGTTTTGATCAAACCATAGGGACGATTTCAGTAATTTACTCCTGATTTTGGATTAAAAGAGGGGTACCACAGTTTATGGGGTGTTTTTTTTTTCTCCGATGACATTGTGTCGGTGGAAGAGACAGAGAAAACTAAATGCTAGGTTAAACATTTGGCGGATGACGTTAAGGAAAAAGTTTATGGATAACTACAATTAAGATGGAATATTTATGGTGCAATGTCAACAGGAAGCGTAATGATGTGGGGTTACAAAAGTCTGCCTATACTACCACCAAAAGGTTGAATTGGAGATACCGAGTAACAAAAGGGTCACTATGATATTAAAAATGAATCTTCTAAAGTTATGTCATATGACTCAGCATACTTGCTAACAAAGAAGGCACATCGGAAGCTGATGGAAAATATGGAAATGAGGATGTTATGTGTTAGATAGGATACCCCATGCAATAATCATAATTTAGAAATAAGTTGGAAGTTGTGTCAATCAATGGAAAATTAAGGGAAGGAAGGTTGTGGTGGTTTGGGCACGTTGAATAGAGACAAACAACAAATACAGTTAGAAGGGTAGACATTGTTACATTTGATAGGTTGATGACGAGAGGTTGATCGATGAGCAAGTGGAAAGATAACTTGAGGTTAAACATGAAAAAGTTAGCACTTTTTGAGGATATAATACCATACAAAAAAAAAAGGAACAGAGACATAAATTACGGTAGTGAATTTGCATCGATTCTTATTTGTTTATATTATAGTTTGTATTTAGATAAATTATTTATCGACATGTACTATATGGTATGAAGATTATGTACTCATTGTACACATACTTCTCGAGCTAGATGTCTCTTATGGATGCAACCTCGTTACTTTTAGGCAGAGTTAAGACTAGAGTTAAGACTGTGTACATCTAACGCACCCTTACCTCATGAACTTATGAAGACAGTCTCTTGGCCGACTTCCATCCAATGTATTCTCTCTCTCTCTCTCTCTCTCTCTCTATATATATATATATATATATATATATATATATATATATATATATATATATATATATATGTGTGTGTGTGTGTGTATTAGGGCCGTGATAATCACAACCCTAGTGAACTGATCAACAAGTTACTTTTACATGATTTTAGGTAAAAATACATTTTTAATGACATTGATTGGTATATCTTATTGTGCAAATGACAATAAATATTCTTAAATATACCATGGATGTTGTTACTGCAAAGGTCCAGAGTCCGAAGGAATAATATGAAGATTATGTTGAAAGTATAAGACGCAGTGAAAAAATAAATGAAAAACACTTTATTTTCATAACGGTGGTGTTTGGGACTGCTTTTAAAGAAATATTGCCTTAAAGCACAAGTTAACTAAAGGCTCAAAACTCACCCTTGAATGTGAAACAAAAGATATAATTGAAGTACATTGCTATTTCTTGCATATTGGAATACAAAATAATAAAGTTGTATTAGAGCTATATTGGAATTAATGTTGACATCCTCTAGTATACTCATATAAAGTTCATCACTATTGGAAGACTCAAAACTCACTCTTTATAATTTACCATCTAACATTTTCATTCTGATTGCTGCATTTTATTTTCTTTCAACATTAAAAATCTCTTTGATGTTTTCTTGAGTGCATCTTAAGTAAGTGTTGTATGTTTATATATCAAAAGTTGTAATCTTGATTCATTTATATTTTGATAACCCACAAAAGTTTAGGTATTGTCAAATGTTGATTCACCTAGTGACTGAAGCAATGCATATGAACACCCAAAGTCTGGAAGGCCAAGAAAGGAAAGAAACCCCTAATTTTAAAGGGCGACTCGGCGAGTCCAAGGAGGAACTCGGCGAGTCCGAGCGGGATCCGGGTCGAGGAGTAAGTGACCGACTCGACGAGTCGGCCAAAGGGACTCGGCGAGTCTGGTCTATGCGAGGAAAACCCTAAATTCGGGACTTGGAGCCTATTTAAACGTCTCATTCTCTCCCCTAGGGTTCCTTTACTGCCTCTTTCACTCAGAACATCGAACCTTAAGCCCCATTGTTGCTCATTCAAGCTTCCAAGCCATTTTTGGGGTGATTTGAAGGAAGAAGGAGAAGGGGAATCATTGAAGCTTCAAGGATTGGCCTTAGAGCTAAAGATTGGGGAAACTGTCTGAGTTATTGAAGGTATTAAGTTGTTCTCTCCTTTAGATCTAGTATGGTTGTGAGTTTTGGGGGTTTTCTAGCCATGATTAGCTACCCCTTTTTAGTTAGAAGCCAGATCTGAAGTTGCTACTTCGGATCTAAGCATATTATGGTCTTGAGAAGCATAAAGTATCTGCCCTTGAGTTGATTATGGAGTCTCTTTGCCTTAAATCCTAGTTTATGGTGTATTTTGCCTAGATCTCCTTCTCTACACGTAAAGTTTGCAAATTTACGTGAGGAATAGGCTTGGGAAAGGTAGATCTATAGTTTGGAGTCCATGCATGACTCAAAAGTCCTCTGCATGTAAGAAGATCTGAATGGACTCGGCGAATCCTTTGAGTGGACTCGGCGAGTAGCATGAAGAGTAGGAGCAACTCGACGAGTGGGATAAACAGCTCACCGAGTCAGATGAAGATTGCCTTGTACTCGGCGAGTCTATTCTTGGACTCGGCGAGTCATGTCGCTAAACCCCAAACCCTTCGAGTTGGGACTCGAATCAGTGAGTCGAGAGGAGACTCGGTGAGTTGGTCAGGTCAGGACTCAGAAATCGATAGACTCGGCGAGTCATGGACTGACTCGGCGAGTCGAGACGCGAAAGGAAGGACTCTGAATATATGAACTCGGCGAGTCAGTAGGTTGACTCGGCGAGTAGGGTTGACCTGGGAGGTTGACCTTGACCAGGACTTTGACTTTGGCCAGAGTTGACTTGGTTGTCTCTCGGGGGTCAGTTAGACTCAATGTTGCTTTGATATTGGTAGTTCGGGGAACAAGGGGAGCAGGAGTTCAGAGAGTTGTTGGGCAGCAGCCAGTGAGATCATCAGCAAGTTCAGCCAGTGCAGGTGAGTTTTCCTTTTTGTGAATGGGTCTAAGGCCACAATGTCGGCCCATGTAGTTATGAGTAGAAGGCCCGGGGGTTAGCCCTAAGCACAGTATGCTAGTATGATATTCAGGACGAGGTCCATTAATAGCGGGCGGGTGCCCAAGGAGTCGTTTATATGATAGTTTATACTTGTTGTCTGTGTGATACATGTATGTGCCTGGTAGGGAGGTGAGTGTGTGAGCGAGGTCCCGTATCTCACCAATAGCAGAGTGTGGATGGGGTTCCACATCTCATTAGTAGCAGAACAGGGGCGAGGCCCAAGTTAGGGAAGGAGTGAGAGTGGGCTGGGCCCGTATCTCATTACCAGTAGGAGCATGGATGGGGTTCCATGACTCATCAGTAGCAGGACAAGGGCGAGGCCCAGGATAGGCGAGGCCTTAGGACATGATCAGTTGTATGAGTTTAGCTTATGTGTTGTGATATGTTTATGTGTCATTACTTGTCGGCGGGCGAGGCCCTGTGATATGTTTATGTGTTATTATTTGTTGGCGGGCGAGGCCCTGTGACAGGCGAGGCCTAAGTGAAACAAATCTGTATCCGAGCGGGGCTCGAAGCCAAGCGGGGCCTGGAGCGGCGGGGCCGTTGTAGCGGGTGAGGCCCGAGGCAGGGGCGAGGCCCAAGATAGCGGGCGTGATCCAGTATGTGCATTATGTGATTATGCATGGTATGTGGTAGGGTGGGGAACTCACTAAGCTTCGTGCTTGTGGTTTTCAGTTTTGGTTTCAGGTACTTCCGGTAGCGGAAGGAAGAGCTCGGGGTGATCGCATGGCACACACCATTGATTACACAGTCTGGGAATGTTTTACTCTGATAACGAACACGTGTTTTGGAAATTAATACTCTGTTTATGTTTTGGATTGATGATTTTTCCTTAAGTTATGTTTTATTAAAATAAATTTTTGGTCTTGAATTTTGGGTCGTTACAGCATAATGGCATCCCCTGTGTATTTTGTTATCA